TGGACCTGTGCCGAGATGAGGTAAACTCCACAACCAGTTGAGTGGAAACATGCATAAAGGTGCAGTCACAGTGAATTTTTTTGTTCATCGGAGTGGTCCAAGACCCTAGGACTTTTGTCTCACTTGAACCACGAATACACACACACACACAAAATTGACTGGAGTGGTGACAAATCTTTCCCTCGTGGATCAATTTGACCCCCTTAGGAATGAATGGAATGCGAGGAATGCTTCAGTACACATAGAAAAACCTAAAAATGCTCAAAATTCAAACTAAAAATGCTAAAACTTTACCAAAAAATGATTTTATAATGTCTACATGTGTATCTGAATGCATACTGAAGCGAACTGACTTTAGGACCCAACGAAATATAGAGCTGAAGGAATGTGAAGAATGTGCCTAAATTATTATTTATTTATCATTTATTGATAAAATCGAGTAATTTAAAGGTAAATAAAATATTATCAAAATGAAATGAAATAAGCTTTCTGGATAAAAAAAAAAAAAAAAAAGTATAATTCTAGGGCTTCGGATCATTTTGACCCGCGAGCGAAGGATTTGTTGCAAAGTGCGAGGGAAGGATGAGGTTACAGCAAATCCATTACAAATCCTTTCGCCCTCACACAAAATACCTGAACGTGTGGATTCCTATTGAAATGACTGTATTTTGGCTGCGAAAATTCAGTGAACAACTCAAACCATGAAATTCCTGATCGGATGGATTCCCATCCACCTTATTTTGCACTGCGAAAATATTGTCTGTGAATATGTGAGACTTCCGATTTATTAACTGCATTAGATACATTTATGAAGGTAAAATGATGACATAAAGAATCGCATGCGCAGGGTAAGTTTTGTGAAAGTAACAAAGTCCAGTAAATAGTAAATTTATCTGCGCTACAAACCAGTGTGTTTATGAATATGATGAGAAATGAATAGGATAAGAAATACCAGTTTGCAATATCAAGCAGCATAACGGGCTGTTTTTGTACAGCTAAAATATCTGGGATGACACTGGAAGCCTCACACAATCAAGTTACGAATGGCCACGCTTGCTCTTATGGTAAAAATAAGATGGAATGAAATGACTGGATTTTGCCGAACAACAGTAAATCAGATTGCACTTCATGTCATCTGCAATGATGCTTGACCTTTGTTCTAGTTAATTAATATCACCCACTGAAATACAAACACAATCCATCTTAATCTGCTGTGTTTTGATTGGTTATCTCATAACTTATTACTCACAGGTACAGTTTGGTTTGGTGGATGAAGCCAAGCAACTGGAAGCTGCCATTCTAGCACTGAGACAGAAGCTAGCACAGGCCCAGTGAGTCCAATTCCTCCTTTCATTTATATAAATAATGCAAATGCAAAAGGAATCTGAACATCTTTGAAACTGTCTTATCCATGACCAGGCACTCTATGCAGGCTCTGAAGCAGCATGAAGCTCAAATGATAGAGGATCTGTCTCGTAAGCAGGATGCCCTGTCGCTGGAGCAGCGCAGCAGCCAGACCCGCCAGCACCTGACTCTGGGGGTCCAGACTCAGGGTCTGCGTTCAGCTGTGGTGCCACTCACCAACTCTAGCGGCAGATTCAAGCTGGACCTCGCTTGAGTCGCCGTCCTGGTTCTTACCCCATACTTAAAGGGATAGTTCACTTTGAAATTAATTTTTGGTATGTTTTAGCTTACCTCAAGGGCATCCAAGATGTAGGTGTCTTTGTTTCCGCAGTAGTTTCAATTTCCAAATTAAACATTATTTAATGACTCGTAAATGTAAGTACACATTGATGGCCTAAGACACGAAACGAGCGGTTTGTGTGAGAAAACGAACAGAATTTATATCGTTTTTACCTCTTGTAACCACAGCCACGTCCAAGTGATCTGAGGGCGCGGGCGCTTCGGTCTGCGCAAGCACCAGAAAGCGCCGGAAGTGATCTCTCGCGCGTGTACGTCACTCATTGTTTACACAGAGATTTCGGAAGTGTTACCTTTCACTGTGAAGATCTAAACATATTTAGATATACAGGAAATCGCAATGGAAGACGATTTCGATATATCAACAGACAACGATAAAAAAATTTCGCAACCGCGCGAGAGATCACTTCCAGCGCTTTCCGGCGCTTGCGCGGACCGAAGCGCCCGCGCCCTCAGATCACTTCGACGTGGCTGTGGTTACAAGAGGTAAAAACGATATAAATTCTGTTCGTTTTCTCACACAAACCGCTCGTTTCGTGTCTTAGGCCATCAATGCGTACTTCCATTTACGAGTCATTAAATCATGTTTAATTTGGACTTCTCTGTGCATGCTCTTTGAGATGGTGACCGTAGACCTGCATTATATGACTGACAGACAAGAACGGTTTGACCTAAAAATATCAAAATTGAAACTACTGTGGAAACAAAGACACCTACATCTTGGATGCCCTTGAGGTAAGCTAAAACATACCAAAAATTAATTTCAAAGTGAACTATCCCTTTAAGGTGCGGTCACATTTACCGTTGCTCAGTGAAATTTCACAGGTGAAATCCAGTTATCCCAAAAGGAATTTGCGTTTCACGAAAAAGTTCCCCATGCGGATTTCGCTTGTGTTAGTCACGCAAATTCACTACGTTTACAAACAGAAAGCTGTTTGGTTTGAAAGTGACGTCTGTGTGAGCTGTGCTTTTTACATCTCTACGCAATTGACAATTGACGCCTGCAAAATGTTCCTGAAATTTCGCAAATGTGACTGCAACTTTAATATAAACCATCATTCAGACTGTCAGTCCAAATCTGAATTTTGTACATATTCGATTGGAATTTCTCATATTTAGCAAGTGTGAATGGCAAAAAAATCACATGAAATGGGATTTTTACGAATCCGTTTTAAGCTACATCCATATGTGTGCCATATGTGTTTCAGTCTTACCGCTCTAATCGGATTTCGCATCGGATGTCACTTTCTCACACTACGTAAAACGTAAACATGTCAGACAATGTTATAGGAAACATTCTGTAAGTTGCTCCAGAAACAAGGTTGTGTTTATTCATATGCCGGTCGCGCTAAAAAATTACAATACAATGGAGACATGTTGAATTTTAAGAATGACCGAGATGACAGCACGGAATAAAGCCGCGAAAACCAGTGCAGATATTCTGGAAGGCGAAAGAGAGCCACTGGACACACAAATCAGATTTGAAACAGTTGCGACTGTGTGGGCAGTCAATAATTTAGATCCGGATACAAAAATGATCGGATTTGGACCGACAGTGTGAACATAGCCTGAGTCAGGTGTGTCAAACTCAGCTCTTGGAGGGACACTGTCCAGCAGTTTGGCTTCAACCAACCGATTATTGGCTTCAATAGTCGAGGTCTTCAGGATAACTTCCAGACAGGTGTTTTAGAGCTGGTTGGAGCAACACTGCTGGACAGTGGCCCTCCAGGAGTAGAGTTTGACACATGTGGTCTAAATTTAAAAGAGTCATATGGGAAATCAAATTTTACTTAATCTTTTGAAATAAGAGTCAAAATCATAATTCAAAACGTCCTCATCAGTCCAATGGCTTGTTCGGAACTTCTGCAACTTTTTTGACGTCACACAGATGACCCTATTGACACAGGATCATACACATTTATAAGTCAGTGACAGCAGTTTGGTTTTAGCAACTTCTGCCCAGTCCCGGTGAGGTAATAAAGAGGAAGTAGGGTAGATATTACATGTTTGGCAGACATTGTAATCCAAAGCGGCTTACAGTGTGTTCAAAGGATACATTTTTTCAGGACTTGCATTCCTAGGCATCAAACTCAGAACCTTTGAGTTACCAGCACCAATTTTGCTACAGCCAGAGCTGCAAAAATGGCTAGTTTAATTGGCAAGAGAGAGGGTGGAAACTAGTCAGGGACAACTAAACAAGGTAAATTCAATACAATGAATAATTATTTGATAACCTAATGATTACATAAAAAAAAAAAAATGTATTTTTTTTTTTTTTGATTCCAGTATTTTATAAATTTCTATTTCCTCTTCCCATGTCTTTACCAATCTTAAGACAACTTTTTTTTTTAATGTGGTAATGAGCTTTGAGTATAGTATTTCAAACATTCATTTGATTTTATGATTAAGAGTGGAGCAACCTCAAATAAATACACACTAACTCGCAATCCACATGTGGATCATTTTGTCGTATTGTTAAATGGTCTTTTTGGTTTCATAGTTCTTTCCAACAATCCATCTGTCAACAGATTTTTATTTTATGTGAGGGAAGAGAAGCTAATGTCATATGAAAGGCTCTATTTAGACTGGACTTTGACTCTCAGTGATGAATGAGATAAAAGTATGGGTGACAAAAAAAATCTACGCAAATCCATTGGTGAGGGTTTATCAATTCTGTTGAAGTTAATAGCTATACTAATGTCTCTAAATGGGACCATTTGAGTCTATGTGAAATAACAGGGAGGAAGATATTTCCCTACGAGTTTAAATGCATGGCAAATATTACAGAGCTCAAATCATGGTTGATCACATTTTGTTAAAGCGTGTGATCAGTTCATATTTAAATGCCATTATGTAAAGACTAAGATGCTACTTTTGGTGTTACTTGTTTTTTTCTGTTTATTGCTATTATTGTAAACCTAAAATTGAGGTTGTACATTGTTGCTGAAGCTTTCTGTTTTCTTCAGTTCTCATGCTCAGCGTGTTTAAAAACATAATTTGATGTGGTAGGATTGGGTGGTTTGAGGTTTTTTTTTTTTTTGAATAAAAATATTTAGAATATACAAAATTCACTGTTTTTAATTGTTTAGTTATATATATATATATATATATATATATATATATATATATATATATATATATATATATATATACCCACACACAAAGATAAAGATGCATGATATACAGCCAGTATGATCATGCTTAATAAACAGATCCAAAGGCCTTTTGCATGCCGCTATAAAAGCGTCAAGTTAATTCATTATATGCAATAGTCAATGCTGAATGATAAACCCCTAAACAGTCTCTTAGTGAGTTTACAGCTTTAATGGTTTAACCGTCCAGTTCATTTCATGTGACCGAGTCACGGCTGGATGGGCAAGGCTTCCTGTAAAGCCCAATTATTCTGAATCATTTCACTAAAGGGGCCTGATCTGACGTGTGCACCAAGGGCAAATACGGCAACATGAGACCATATAAATGCCATCTTGCTACATTAAGTACCCATCCCCTTGCCTCATATCAGACCAATTCAAGCTCTTAGATGCACTAACCACCCATCTTACACCCCTCCCACGCCCCCTTTTTCTCCCCACCCTACTTTGTGCTTTCCAAATAAATACAAACTTCCGTGCAAATACGAACTTCTCCATTGTCTTCATCTATTTTTCTCTCTCACACAGATTGGAAGGTATTCAGCATTTTATTTGATTCGGGAACGGCAATTCTTCCGCATGGAATAACGAGGGAATACTGGAGGCCAATGGAGAGCCTGTAAAAAGGAGTATCTGGTATTTGTTAATTGAGCAACAAATCTAGAAATTGATCTGACATGGAGCTGACTGCGTTCAGCTATGTCTCGATGTTGATCTACTTCTTCACCTTCTTGCTTGGACTTCCCGGCAACCTCCTCGTTCTTTTCGTGTACATCCGTAAGGCTCGAAAACACGGCGCCACTCCCAATGTGGTCTACGCTCTTAACCTGTGTGTGGCAAACCTCGCTCTAGTGTTGTGGATGCCAGTCAAAGTGGCCGAGACGGTGCTCCAGGGTTGGGCGCTTCCAGCTGCCATTTGTCCCATTTACAGCTTCTTTCTGTTCTCCTCGGTCTACGGTAGCAGTCTGATCCTCACAGCAGTCGTCGTGGGCCGTTACCTGAGTATCGCATACCCCATAACTTACAAGCTCTACCGCCGGGCCCATACTTCTAGCTTAGTGAGCGCCATTTTGTGGGCTTTAGTGCTCTTGCACTTGGGTTTTGCTTATCTTGCCGAAGGAGGGGGACATTTTGTGTCTTTATCTGAGCATAATGTCTCTGCATGCTATGAAAACTTCACCCAGGAGCAGTTGGATGTGCTAGTGCCTTTGCGCCTAGAGATGGCACTGCTACTCTTCCTGGTGCCACTTGTTTTGTCAGCTTTCTGCACGCTGCGCTGCCTTGTGCTTGTCAGACACTCTTCTTTGCCCTCTGGTGGGAAAAGAAGGGTATTAGCCATTGCACTCTCCACATTAGTTGTATTTGTGGTCTGTTATGGACCCTACAATGTTTCCCACGTGGTAGGCTTTGTCTTGTACACTAATGTGAAGTGGAGAAGTGAAGCCATGCTGTCCAGCTCCTGCAATGTCTTTCTAGAGCCCGTGGTTATGTTGATGCTTTCGCCGTGGACGCCGAGGGATTTGGTTGACAGGCTGTGCCGTAAGAGAAGAGACGCATCATGCAAGTTGTGGCATCAGCATCACTGCAGTATGGCTTCCAGGAACCCTCAAACAACAACTACACAGGCAATGTCAATAATAAGCCATGGAGAATCTAAAGATGACAGAGCAAGAGCAAACAAAGCAGACCCGTCCATAAAAGTGACCTGATTAGGGTGCTGCCATACACTCCTGGAGCAAATGAGAACATGGAATTTTTTTTTAATCTATGAGTCACCCAAACAGACCTATTTAGGGGAAGGATATGAGCTGTAAGATAATGTTTTGGTGGTCATTAAAGATATTGGATGAGAAAGTGCACATTCTTTTAAAATTCAGCAATTGTTTTTAGACACCAGCTGTCTATGCACATCTTCCCCTATTCACTAATGGTTGCTTCTGTATTATATCATTACTTTTCAGTGATTTTATCCAAAAGTATAAACTACAGTAAATAAATGTAATTAGTAAATATTGTAAAATAGTAATTTTTATTAATACCTTTGAACATGCAAGAAGATCTTTAGAAATTTTTAAATACCGATAATGAACCATGTTAATTTGTACCTATTCTGTGAAACTCTTATTCTGTAATTGTTATTTCTGCTATAATAAATAATGTGAATGTGTATTATGTTTAACATGGGCACTGTATATATAAATTAAATTGCTCTTACATTCACTGGTATTATTTCATTTTCAGTTTTTTGATATTATGAATGAATGAAATTTAAGTTGCCGCATGCAGTATTATAAATGTTTTTAAAATGTGTACACCTCTGCATTTTACAGGTTTTACAGGCCTAACAAAACAAAACAAAACAAGTGTCTTCTATTTTCACATTACGCACTAACTGTGGATAAAAACCCATGTGACAGTTTGTGGTTTGGAATAAGGTACGTCCCCTGTGTGACATAATAAACATGCATGTTAAAAGTTGGTACTTAAAACGAGAAGGAAGCCTATAACCTGAAGAGTCTTGGTGAGTGTCTTTAAATATATTCAGATGTTTTAGAAAATATGTTGGACTGGAATACACCCGTTTGACTTATTGCGTTTAATGACTATAAAAACAGCAGTGATAACAGTCAAATTTTGATGTAAAAGATAATAGAAGTGCAATAATGTTACCCTGCTGATTTGCATTTTCTCTCATTTTGCTTTTACATCAACTTTCACCATTAGTTGTAATTTGTATATGGGCATCAGAATTATACTAATTATTAATTAAAATTGAATCTGAAGAATGCTAATTATTGTTCGCTGTTTGATTCACTCTCAACTACCAGAAACCCACAACTTTACCTAAACCTGATTGTATAAAGATTCGAATTGACAATTTCATTTATCTAATTTCATTTATATTTTTGTTTGCACATTCAATTGATTTGTATTATCAGTACAGCATTTTTTTCCAAAAGCTCTCAGTACTTTGACCCCAGCACATTAAATTAATATTAAAAAGTTGTATGCAATAGTCATTTAAAATATAATAAAAGAAATAATACTTGTCATTCCAATCTTTTATGCTTTTAACAATATAGGACAAATTCTGATTAATCTTTATGCTGCTCTTGCAAACAGTTCATAGTGATCAAAACACCTTTCAATAAACTTTTGGGAACATTGACTAATATTAAATAACTTTAAGGTGTTTTTGTGTCATTTTGGTTTGATCATTAAGATGAGTTACACACAAGAGTTACACAAAATCTGCAAAAAGAATACAGGTTTTGCAACAACATGAGTGTGAATAACAATAACAAAAAAATCACTTTATTTCAGCCTCCAGACTTTAAGTAATTGCTCTGTTGCTGATCACAGATCATGGAACATAAACCAGTCTGATGCTGTGTAATTTTATTAGCATTAGCTAATGGGTATAGCCCTGAGGGTATGGACGTGTCGTGCAGTAAAAAAAAACAAAAAAAACAGTGGCTCAATTATGAATATAAACTCATTTTCATAACATGATGAATGCAAATCTTAGAGCGTGCTTATATGCTGTCCAGGTGGTTTGAGTGTCACGGAACGGCATATCAAAGGAACCCGTTGTCTCTTGATTTCATCAAGACTGATAACAGAAAAATATATCTTGGTAAGTCACATATTAAACCAAAACAGCTGATACTTTTTTAGTAGCTTTCAATAGTTTTAATAATATTGAAAAAAACTACGAGAATACATTTAAAATAAGTGTATACATTACAGGTGGTGTCTTCAGCTGAACCTGCAGGGCTGTTTTCTAAAGTAAAGAACATTACCACAAGCTGACAACAATGTCAGAAGAACCACCTCAGGAGGTGTTACTTGCTACTTATATAATCACATTCCTGATTGGGTTTCCTAATAGTGTGCTGGCGTTCTTCTCATGCATTCGCAAGATTCACATTAAACCCATCCCCATTGACATTATCATGCTGAACCTCGCTATTTCTGACCTCATCTTCCTCACCTGCCTGCCCATCAAGATGAAAGAGGCCGCAGATAACATGGTTTGGAAAATGCCCTCTGGTGTGTGCCGCTCCGATGTGTTTGTCTACTTACTTCCCGTCTATTCCAGCAGCCTGTTCTTGACAGCAATAGGTGCTGAGCGCTATGTGTGTATAGCGTTTCCAGTTAAGTATAGAAGTCCGAAGAGAATCATTTATACAATACCTATATGTGTTGTCATCTGGGTGCTTGTTGCCGCAATTTTTACATTTGTTTACAAGGCAGTATCCACGGATTCTGGTGTAGCGGTCAACACCACAAATCAGCAAACTGAGAGATGTTACAGTAACTTCACAGAGAAACAGCTCGCAAAACTGCTTCCAGTGCAGATGGGTTTAGCAGTGGTGTTTTTCTTTCTACCCCTCCTTACCTGCTGCTTCTGTTACATCAATTTCATTCGTAATTTGTTAAAGCTTCCACTCATCAAGCGACAACGTAGACTCCGGGCAGTTGGACTGGCTCTGGGAACTCTCCTTGTGTTCGCCAGCTGTTTTGCACCCTACAATATATCACATGTAGTGGCCTTCGTCAAAAAAGAAAATCCAAAGTGGCGCACGACAGCTTTAATCCTGAGCACTTTAAATGCATGTTATGATCCTATTATATTTTTCTGTATCTCTAGGGAGATGAGAAGTGCAATCAAAGTATGTGCTAAGTTTTTTTTTCGGTGTTATGCCTATTTAAAGGGTCAGTTCACCCAAAACATCAAATAAAGATATTTTTGATCAAATCTGAGACATTTCTGTCCCTCCATTGATAGCTACGCAACTACCACTTTGGCACTTCAAAAACTTCATAAAGAGATCATAAAGCTATTTATATGATTTGAGAGGTGAAGAGTTCTGAAGAGACGCGATCGCATATGTGGAATTGATTTAATTTAGGCTTTTATTCACATATAAACATTGAAATTTAAAGTCATTCACAGGTTCAAAAAAGAACTATGAGCGTGAACACCGGTAAAGCTTGAAAACAGATGTTGCGCTTGCTTTTCTGCTGCTTGACAGGTAAAAATACCACGGTAACAGCAATATGCAGGGTGGTAGAAAAGAGGGTGATAGAAGTTCAGAAGCAACTTAATGAAATTTTTTATAATTTTTAAAAACACATATTAAAAGCTTCTGGTTTTGTATGCACATATTTTATTTGACCTCTTTTATTGTTATTACTTTTTTATTTAAGGGGACCAGATTTCTGAAATGTAAACCAGGGACATTTCCTAGTTCAGAGGTCAAAATATCATTGAAATCTCACTTGTTAGAGTGGTGCATGTTTTTAATAGGCCTAAGTAAAAAGTGGGACCGATAAATCTGCTAGATAAAATAATAAAATACAATATAGCTTGATCTCAGCAAATGGACCATTTATTCAATCAACATATTTATTCAATCAACCTAATTATTAAAGAATTATTATTATTATTAAAAAAATTGTTAAAGCATTAAGTAAGATAACAGTATGGCCCAGTGTAATGCAGCTCTGAATTGATTTAGTCCAGGCAAAGTAACTCATTTTGGAGCCAAAAATAGATTTTTAGTATAGATCATTTCGATAAGGTGTCCAGAACAACATACTAAAAGTCCTAAGAAATCCTAGTTGAGGAAAGTGTGCCAATATGGCCAGGCAACAATGCACCCCAATGGGGCAATTTTTTTCCTTTACTCCTATCAAAATAGAACTTTATACAAATGAAAGTATCCATGCAAAGTAAAACATTTTGTATTAGAAGTTTCTTTGAAAATGAATTTGAATATTCAAATGAGCAATATACTAATCGAATATGCCCAAAATACACCCTATGGGCTTATTTTTTCCTTTACTCCTATCACAATCAAACCTCACACAGTGAAAGTATACATGAAAAGTAACATTTTTGTTTTACAAGTTAGTATCTTGTAAAACAAAAAGGTATGTATTTAGTTTCTTGGTAAAATCTATTTTAAATATGCAAATGAGCTCAACACTATAGGCCTAATTGACTTATGGCCAAGAAGCCGTAAAGTCACAAGTAGAAAAAAACAGGGGCCAAATAACGAACACATTCATGTCCATTCAGTAAGCATAAACATGATACATTTGAAGTCACTTGCCACACTTACCTGGGTCACTTGCCTCTCTTTTTGTAGTTGGCAAAAAAAAAGTTACTTTTCATGTAAAAACTAAGCCTATTTGGGTGTATTTTGGGCATATTCGATTAGTGTATAGCTCATTTGCATATTACAATTCATTTTCAAAGAAACTTGTAATACAAAATTTTTTACTTTTAATGGGTACTTTCATTGTGTAAAGTTTAATTTTGATAGGAGTAAAGGTAAAAAATAGCCCCATTGGGGTGTATTGTTGCCTGGCCATATTGGCACACATCTCGGATTGATGAGAATTAAACATATTTCCTCAACTAGGATTTCTTAGGACTTTTATGCTGCGTTCCAGGCAGGTTTTTGAGCACGTAAATCACGACTTCAAACCACGACTCAAGACTTTGCTAGATGTAAACAAACCAGCATGGCGGGGCTTATGCGCATTTGTAATAATTTCTGTCGCCAAAGGTGCTTAAACTCCTTGTTTATTTGAGGGAAACAGAGGAGGAAAAACGGCGCATAAGGCAGGATAAGCTGTTATACCTTTTATTTTACTTTATTTGTATATTTGGAAATGTATTTGGTGTTAACTTATCCTTGCACTCAATGGATTGAAAACTAGTTAAAACTAGTTAACGCTAGAATAGCTGCTGTGCTGATAATGCAACATTTGCGGATAAATAACGTTAGAGCAGAAACACTGCATCCGTTGGTTGTTTTGTGTGGTTTCGCGGGCTATGTGACGTGAGAGCTTAACTGGGAGTACATCGATCTACTACGAGTTTACGGGTGGGAAGTCACGGGTTTGACTGCCGTTCCAGTGCACTTTCACGGGTATAAGGTTGGAAAAACACGGGTTACAGGTTGCCTGGAATGCGGCATTAGTATGTTGTTCTGGACACCTCATAGAAATGATCTAAGCTGCAAAAAACTCTTTTACAATTAGTCTGTCGTAAAACGCTACTTTGCCTGGACTAATTTGTGATAAAATACATCAGTATTACCTCACTCGTGATTTTTTTTTTATTTGTTACAAAGACGGTTGCTAACAAGTGTGGGACTACAGAGGCTAGGGACATCACGCCAAGCTCATTCCGCTTTGTGCCGTCATCTTTACGACCGACGGTCTCAGTAATGCCTGCAATATGTTGTGCAGTTGGCTGCAACAACAGCCGAAAGAGGAACCCCGAACTGGTATTTTATTCTATACCAAAAGAAAAGGATAGAAGAAAGAAGTGGTTAGCGCTGCATGTCTCATATTGTATCATGTCTCATCTTTCTGTGCGCACACAGGACAAAAAAATGTTCATCCATCAACCATTGCATTTGGACATACCTCCGCACACCCTGCTTGCACAGACATCACGTCATCAGTGCGTTGCGTTATATTAAGGCTATGCAGAGTTAGACAGACGCCAGTCACCGAGAGCACCACAAACAAACAGCAGCCACCTTTTACAGTTCCTCTTCCTGAACCAAAACAACAGGCTCAAATGCTGCATTCACGCCATGTCATAACCATAATTACAGGATGGCAACAGGTGACACGTTCTACCAGGAGCTGTTCACGTCCTCAGACTCAGATCTTTGTGTTTCTATGTCAACACTATCAACACCGAAATGAATCTGCAGCAGTCAGGTGGTACAAGTCAGAGCTCGGTAAGTTGTTTATTATTATGATATGTGCTTTGAGACATGAGGTCATTTAATGCCTTCTCTCATCTCGTGATGCTATGCAAACTGCCTAACAGCTGAATCCGTTCACATTAATACAAAATTTCCATGTACACACACACACACACACACAAAACAAAACAAACAAAAAACAATAACATCACTTATATGATAAGCTGTTTTCCTCATGGGGGATCAAAAAATGTCCCACAAGGATAATGATTTCGGATATTGCCATCTATGTGGGGATTGTCACCACGTAGTGTTTACCCACACACACACACACACACACACATACACACACACACGTGGCAGTTATGACAGCTTCCTGTGTTCTCACTGACTGTTCCCAGGGGGGTTGCCAAGAGACATTGTTTGATGAGCCTCAGTGTTGCAGATTATGCTCCGAATTGATTAAATTTCCGCTCTTTTGAGACGTTGCACACATCACGTAGTCTAATTATGCAGTCGAAATGCCTAGAACAGAGGTGAAGGGAGCTTGCAGACACTTTGTGAAACTGATGAGACACAAAATGCTGAGGATCCTAATTTTCCTACATTGTAAAGGTGAGTATTTTTTGTTCATTATACTTCTTGAACAGAATATTCCCTCAACTGCAGGCACTGTAGGAATGCTGCAAGGATTGATTTGTATTAAAAAAACAAAAAAATGCAATCTTTGTTATAGGAAGATCACATTAAAACTGTCAATAATCAATAATGCTTGTTTAAAACTAAGATAATCTAAAGAGTGAAATAAATATAAACAATTTAGATTTCTATTGTATGAAAATTATTTATATAAACATTTCAGAAATTATGACTGTACCACATTTGGCGTCATTTCCACAGCACAGTACAATTTTGTTCTAATAAAGTTAGTAGACTTGTTGCCAAGGATGCAATATGAAGAGCATTAGCAACATGGTACGTGAAGAAAACAACGTAAAAGCAGAGTAAATGTCATTATTATTGTGTGGCATCTACTATTAAGCTATGATTTTGCAAATTATATTAATGATTAATGATATTAAGGATTTAATTACGATAAAAAAACTTTGCAAGACTAAGGATTCAATCATTTTATTATAAAAATGTAATTTCCACTAGTGTCATTTCCATCGCAGAATACTATTAAACACAATGCATAATTTAAAATTTAGTGGTAATGACACTAAAAAAGGTGTGAAATTTCATGACTTTCTGAAAAAGTGTATGTATAGCCTATACTAAAATACAAACAAAATTAAATTAGTGAGAGGTGTTTTTAAGTCAACAGAGCCATGCCCATAACTGCAGAAATATCCTGTTATAACCATTATAGCATATAATATCATGCAGTATGAATTGTCACTGTCACCAGGGATTTTTACAGTTCTGTTGGCTGGATTTGTTTCAAAATGTAAGTAAATTTAGAGATAATTTCAACATTATTTTTTATTTAAATTGCTTTATTAAACCCATTTTTGATCATTATTAACCACGGATAATAAAAAAAAAACGTAGTGGGTTTATTTTTCAATTTGTCTGTTATCACCATCTTATTGACTCCTGCTATTCTGTTCTCTGCACAGTGTTTCTACCACCTGTTGACCATCTGTGAGGTACAGACCAATGGCCAAGTTGATCTACCACACTCTCTTGTTATTCTACATCCTCACCTTCTTGATCGGCCTTCCTGCCAACATCCTAGCATTCTTTACCTTCTGTCGAAAAGTTTACCGCAAACCCACCCCTATTGACATTCTCCTGCTAAACCTGACAATATCTGACCTCATCTTCCTCGCAGTCCTGCCTTTCAAGATGAAGGAGGCCATTGACAACTTACACTGGAGCCTTCCCTTTTACCTGTGCTCCATTAGCAGTTTCCTTTTCTTTTCCACCATCTACACCAGCACATTATTTCTGACTGCGATTAGCATAGAACGCTATCTAGGCGTTGCGTTTCCGATCCGGTACGCTTTAGGCCGCCGGCCGCGCAACGCTGTGATCGCAAGCTGCTTCCTCTGGCTTCTAGGATCCCTCAACCTCAGCATCGTGTACATCGTGCCATACATAAACTCGAGTGAGAACTCGAGCAACAGCATGCTACAGCCCAATCCCCACGTGAGAATTTGCTACGATAATTTCACCAAAGAGCAGCTGAAAATTCTACTTCCTGTTCGTCTGGAGCTTTTTCTCATGCTTTTCTGTATACCCCTCCTCATCTGCTGCTTCTGCTACATAAACTTCATTCGAATTCTCTCCAAGCTGCCCCATCTCGGAAGACGTCGTAGACTCAGGGCCATTGGGCTTGCGGTTGGGACGCTGTTGGTTTTCACCATTTCTTTCAGCCCCTATAACATCTCGCATGTGGTTGGTTTCATCCACGACAATAGCGAGGGGTGGCGTCACTTGGCGTTGATCTCCAGCACCCTAAACGCCTGTTTGGACCCCATCATCTTTTATTTTTCCTCGGCTGCCGTTCGCAGTGCCATACGAGCATGCGTCAATGGTCTAAAAGAGAAACTGCACATCGTGACATGCAGAAGATGCTGTCCTTCTGGCCCTTCCAAACCTGAGGCCTACAAGGAGACAAACCCACCTATTGACCTGGGGTGAGCAACGAGACACAGAGAGTATTTCCTTTCATTTAGGACTATAGAAAGTGTTGTGTGCATGTACTGTGAAGTTTACTTTATGAGAGGTAAATTAAATCTCAATTAAATCTAGAATGCGAATTTCCTGCAGAAAGTTGGATTAAACTCGGTTTGAAAATGGATTTATTTATGAGAAGAACTGTGATGATCTCCCACTCCCCCAACATAAATGATCAGAATAAAATGTATATGAATTCACCACTTTGACTTTGTTAGTTCATTTTGGTTCTGCGGTGTGACTAACTACTTTTTAAAAGTACAAATATTCAATCTAGTCTTAATTAATATGAGGTCATAAAGGCTGCAAGCACTATAATTATGAAGTAATTCACAAAATAGTCACACCTCAGGATACACTGGGGAAAAATTGGTCTAGAAGATACAATTTTCACTCAGAAATACATTAACAAAGAATTGCCAAGTATAACACTCTGAAGTAAATGTGAAATTTTGATACACAAAAACTGAATTTTGATTGTATTTACAACAGTGTATGTTTTCTTTCCAAAAGTATTTCATGTCAAAAACCCATTAATGGAGGTGACTTTCTTACCAGAAGCAAGCATGTGCATTTATGGGTTGTGTGTTCACGTGTTAGCATACAACATTAAAGAAGGAGCTGATAACCAAAGTTTACCTATGCAGACTTCATTATATTGAGCCTTTGGACTCTTTAATGATGGCACAATATTTACATTTGCTGATAACAAATGTCTAATGAATAATTCTTAAAGCACAGATTGTTTCATTTTATTGTCTTACTGTTATTGAAATCCTACAGTTATGTTTTTATTATTTTTTCACATCAAATTGTTATCACCCCTCCCATTTAATACATTTTAATGACCAGTCACAAAATGACAATAACAAGATAAATAAATCATTTTTATTAAAGAAACAATAAATAAATTCAAATATAAAACATGTTTAATATACAAGTATAAAACATATAAATATAAATATTAAAAATAAATAAACATTATGAAAAGTATAAATTGGGGGGCCCTATTTGGGTGAGGGTTGCTGCGTGTTCAGCTCCCATACCCTAAAAGCCTTTCCCAAACAGAGCCCCCAAATTTACATATATTTACATTATCATTGGCTTATGCACATAAAGAAATGAGCATGAGTGTGTTCTCCAAGGCGCTTCTTCAAACTGTGGAGGTAACTTGGAATAGAGTGTCTCTTTTTCCCTCATCCCTTAATATCTTCTCAGCACAAGACAAAATGTTTTTATCTTTTCTTTTTTCAACCTTGGACTTTTCCGACCTTTCTGTCTTTCCCTGATTTTTCCATGATCCTCCTGTTACCATGGGATGATAGTCACAAAACTCATTCCACGATTTATAATGCGCCATCATTAAGATGTTGTGGAAAAACATGTCAGGATACCTAATCACTTCTGAGAACAAAATGGCACATATTGCAATTGCATCTTGAGGGGTCTGTACATAAGAGTGAACTTTGTCATGGTTCCCCACCATGTAGTTCCAAACTGTCTCAGAATACTTTTTATTGAACTGTTTTGATGTTTTCATTGTTGCATAATTAAGATTTCTGTCATCTTTCTCATCATTTTGGACTGGACAACAGTACAGATCGCTTGCTTGCAACCGAATTGTGAATCTACCAACTGATAAGATGATATCATGCTTCTCCTGTTTATACCAAAATTCAAGTATAAAAATAATTATTTTGGCATAGTGGAAAAAATTTATTGTTCTGATGGGCGTGCCGTTGTTGTTTAAGTCCAAGTCTTCGTTGCTCCTGTCAGCAATGTTTTCAATTTTCTGAACCGCACACCCTTCCCAGGACGTACGCACTTCATATGGTTGGTCAGGTATTTTTGCAGTGGAGTTTTGATCATCTGATTTTTGATCAAAGGTATCAGGAGTATCGTTCAAAAACTTCTTCTTGTTCATAACCTCTAGTTCGAATGACAGAACGACTTGTGGCTTGCTTTCACTCCGCTCACGATCAGACTGCTATAAAATTGAAAAATAAAACATGAGTTTGCACAGTCAGTATTGATATTGATATTTAAATGATAATTGCACAACAGGTCTAACTTACATTGTTCCCACTTTCCTCCGAACATGAGCTTATCTCAGGCTCTTCGTAGTCCTCAGGCTGACTGCAGTCACTAAAATGTACAAACACTAGTTAGGTTGTGTAGTAGCCTCATAAAATACAACATGTAAATAATCTTGACCAGCAATGACTATAAATAACATATTTAGTGATAATCAATTTCAAGAAAAAAAAAATCTTATTATAAGAGTCAATATCTATTAAGAGATTGTGTTATGCATGATGAGTAAATCATTTTTAATTTGGATTTTTTTTTTCTGGGTAACAGATGGTATTTTAAATAAATGTTTTTGTTACTTTTTTGTCAAAGGAAAGCAAGAGTCAATCTCAAATAAAAGTGTTGAGAAACTTTGATTTAGCTTACTCTTTTCTTTTCCTTTTGCCATTTCCCGCAATGAAAGTTTTGTCTTTAGGTGGACAGTTAAATAAAGGTCTCCTGAAAAAAAAATGGTTCAGTATATAGAAGCAGACAACAATATCATATAGGTTACAACATGCATCTGCTATACATTTACAACATACAAACATGTGGACAACTGCCATCTAACTGCCTTGCCAAATTCATTACAGTAAAAACTAAACTGAGGTACAATAATGTTTGAGTTTGAAGTATAAACCTCCAAGAGAAATTATACTTTAAACTTCATACAATTATGTAAATGATTATGATCAAACTGAGGGAGTTAAAGAACCTACTTTGGTGACTTGAGAGATGACAAACATGGCTCCTCTTTACGAGACAGCGAAGTGATCTTGTGAACATCTGTTTAACAGGCAAGGAAGAAGTAATTCAAATTCTCTATTGTGTCAAATTTAGCCTGTAAGTTCATATTTTTTGTCCAGTCCATGATAGCAATGCAGTTGCCTTTATCATTTAGCAAGCATTCTTCCAAAGGTACTTGTCAAATATTACACATGCTTTGACAGAGTGCTGAATATAACTTATGTATCCTCATATAATGCCATGAAACATTTAGCAACAACATATGAATAACAATAGACCTCTTTTGTTAAGTTGGGTTGTGTCATCCTCCTCAGATGAAGGCCCAGCATTCAGGTTGATCTCAGGAAAACATGCTTCCTCTGAATCACAGCCCTGATGTTTGATGTCAAAAAGACAAAATGAGTCTTTTTGTTATCATTATCAAACTACAGTTCCATAACTAAATGTTACTTACCTCCAGGCTTTTGGAAGATGAGTTTTCAACTGGGACTGCATTTTCAGAAGAGGTCTTCACTGCTTTGTTGATGCTGAAAAATTAATGACGGTTACTGAAGAGCTAAACTAAACTAAAAAAGAAATAAATCACAATCGCACATTATTCTTACCTAGAAATGGTCTTCTTTGTTTGGTCTTTTTTGTTCAATTTGCGGAACGCTGAAGGTGATGTGGATGGTTGCGTACGTGTGATCCTCGATGAGTCTTCTTCGTTGCATGTTCTTGAGAGCGAGAACAAGAACATAGAGAGAAACTGTTCAGAGCCCATGCTGCAACGTGGTCCAGTTTTAATGATGAGGAATCCATGAAGGAAGAAAAGCTGAAGCAGAACATTTTCTCAAAGAAACTGAATCATGAGGTGCGTCATTAATACACTTTCAAAAGGCGTCAGTTCCTTCTCTTCAAAACAGGAGAAGTATCCCCAATCATTTTGAATGGAAGCTTTTGGATACATGCTGCCATACATGTTGGATACATTTTTGGATGTTGTTGCCAAGTAAAACATCCCTTTCAGACAGTCAGATTCCACATCATACAATACATTCAGCGATATTAAAGTGGGGATCAAATGGCTTGAGGTTCTTGTCCTTGATAATGTGTTGGCACAGGGTTGGTTAAGCTTTGCTTTTTCAGAAAGCAATCATCTAGTCCTTTGCCCACTGCATTCTTCTTCTATTGTATCTCAAACATTTGACAAAATAGTGTTTGACAAAAACTTGTTCTTGCCTATACCAAGGCAGGGGATGAGAAAGTGTGTTTCCTCCAGTATAAAGCATACTGATGGGTATTCATTTTTCATAACGTTGCCTGCAAGTTGCAAGAGATTCTCCAATATTCGTGATTTCTGCAAAGGTTCTCATTCCAAATACATCTCTCACTCCTTTTGCTCTCAAATAATGAATAATAGCCTCATTTCAGGGATGTTTGAAATCTTCTAAGATGATGTGGCTTTTTATTTTTGTTTTTGTTTTCTTGACTGGTGAGTCCATCTTCATTCACCAAAATTATATGGCAGCATGGGCAACTGAGGTGTATTGTCCTTGGTATCCTAATTGGAGTATAATCTCACCGAAGGTTGCACTTACATTTTTGCAGTGGCTTTCCCTTGCGTAGCCCCGTCTTTGGACTGCTTTTCGCGCGTAACCGACACGTCCGCTGCAGTTCGTGTATCCAGGTAAAAAATGCTTTTTAATTATTTTTTTAATAAAATGTACTCTGGTCATTTTGTTGTAGTTTTTTATTAATTTGTAGTTTAAAAGGTGGTTCCATTTGAATGATTGGATCCAAAGAAAGAAGTATTACAGTTTGAACAGAGTACCTTCAGAGAGTACCACCCTTTTCATATCCATACATCCAGTGCTTGAAGTGAAAAGTGACCTAACGTTTCCGCGCTCGCATGTCATGCACGCCAGTGAACCTGCAGGTTCAGTGTCAATCAAAGGACACGCAAAGAGTATACGCCTAGCAAGAATCATTTCTGGCACTGCATAAAACGATATTGCCAGTACCGCATTAGTACCATCCCACTTCAAGCACGGACTACATCTTAACATGGCTTGATAAGTATCAACACCTTGGTGACAGTTTGGTTTGTCCATCACTGTATTCCTCATTTAGCTTGGCAAATCTTCCTTAGCAAACTGTTGAGGATCGGAGCGCATCATCATCATTGGTCATATTGCTGGCACTGGCAGCACGATAATGGCCACGTTATTCGTCAGCACGGTCGTAAAGGCATAAAAAAGGCCAGTGTTCATCACAAGATCCTGAGAAGGGATGAGTTATAGCCCCGCCTCCTCCAAGACAATGTGGCTGCAAGATTGCTTAGAATGCTATTTGTTTTTGTTTTCCTCAGACATTGTAGCCGGATTTAGCATATTTTGTAGTTCTTCAAAGCTGTCGGTGACCTCCAGAAAAGTTTTCCAGTTGTAGCAACCTCAGCTGTCGGGTTTGTAGGGACTTTTCAAATGCAGCAGCCTTGACTACTAGCTTTCTGGTGGATGGAATGGAATTTTGAGATGTCAGGTGTCATGTTCACCTGGTTATGGGAAGAGTGGGTTGAATACTTATCAAGCCATTTCAGTTTGCATTTCAATCTCTTTTTTTATTTCCATGATCTATCTTCATTTGACATTTTTGTATAAATGATTTAATGATGTACTTATTTACATTTCAATCCTGTATTGTAAATAGAATAATTGATGTTTTTTTTTTTTAAGAATGATGACTCTCTGTAGGCGCTATGTACTGTACATCTGGCCGCAAAAACCTAATGTTTTCAAGAACATTTGTTCACATACAGTCTATATGCTTTAAATGATGCCAAATCAAAGTAAGTATTATTGTTAGTATGATCAATTTTGTTTTAAATTCAGCAGCCAGAAATACACCATCTCCATCCAACCAGACTTCACAAAAAGAAAGAAAAAACTCTCTAGAAAATGCTTGGTTTCTTTTATTAACCCATTGGCAATACTGGGTTATTTGGGGTTTGAAAAATGCATAAATTGTGAATAGGTCTTAAAATATATATTTTACAATATATTCAATATATTATTTTTTAAATATTTCTAAAATATGAATGGTATTATATAATTAAAGTTGTACATCACACTTTAATATTATACCAGTAAAAAAAATGAATTGTTTGGATTTAAGTAGCCCATCTTTTGATCTAAAGTGCATAAATTGGATATTCAACCCACCGTTTCTAGAGAGCAATTGTGGAACCACCCTTGAAACAGGTACACAGTATAAAACATATAGTACAAAGGTAGCATTTAAACATTTGACAAGACAAAACAAACCCATTGCACTTTTGTTGCTCTTGTTTCCATCCTTGGAGCAACACTGGTTTTGACAGTGGAGTTTCGGATGATGGCACATCTCATCCAAATGTGTTTTTTCTGATTAACAGAAACACATAATGCAAGTTGAACATATTATAGTGCTGTCCTAGAAGACTCTGGTCTTGCTTAGCGATAGTGCTTTTGGTAAACTGCCTATAACTATGTGAATCTTTTTTGGTACGGAGCATTGATGATGGTGATATAATTCAGTCGTGGTTCTGCACTCCTTGCTCTTACCTTCATCATTGATAGCCACCCTCCTTTTCTTGCCTCTTTGTAATTCCTGCAAAGGATTAAATCAAGATGGAATGAAGTTAAAATCCATTTGCAAAGAACAGAAAAGGCAAAAAGAAACTCTTCCACTTTGACAAAGCATTTGCAATTTCAGTTTTCATGTCTTAAAGTCACCCTGCAGGCTGCAGTCAATAATTGTATCTCTTAAAACTCATTATTGAGCATCAAAATGACATAATTAAATATTGTTTTTCCTGGGAAAATTATTTTTTTATGCCTTAAAATAGCTTGAATGCTTGAACCCTTGCTTCATTTAACATGTGGTGTATAAGTCTCCGCCTCCACTCAATCGCACCAGCTCGGACTGATCCACTTGGTCAACTGTATAAACGCTGTTCAAGCCATGCTTGAATCAGAAACTGATTCAGAAGAAGTCTACAAGTCTAAGTATGGTAATGTGTTTTATGTATCTCTCTCTACAACGTCAGACACATAGCAGATTAGCCTTTGACTTGATTACGTTATTAATAGCTAATAATGTGTTGCTAATGTTACATTTTCCCGTTTGCCATTTCAGAGTCAGACAGCTGCCTTCTAAAAATCAACATCCTTAGAAACGCTTTGAACATCATAGAAAATCAGTGGAGAAAGGCCCCGCTCAGCATGTTGACAGGATTGGTTACATGTTTGTGACGGTAGAAAATGGGGCGGTTCCAAACCACATTTTTGAGTCTTTGGACGCTGCAGTTAAGGAGAAAATACTCAGCAATTGACAGATCAATTTGCACATAGTTTATCTTAAAGCATATATTAAAAAAAACACAGACATATAAACAACATCAAAAACTGGATTTTCACCAAGGGGGTCTTTAATAGAATTCAATGTTAAATTGTAAATTTATAAATAACTTATTGTTAAATTTCTGATGTAGGCTATCTTTGAAATATTTGTTACATTACATTAATCCACAATGCACATATATGTCTGATGGATTACTAAGAATTTTTTTTTAATTATTATATTTTTTCCCCTAAATAAATAAGAAATAAAAACTGAAACTGCATAATGCATTACCACATCATTATACAAGTCAGATCATTAGCATGTTATCTGAAAACTATAAAAAAAATCCTTTGTTTAAAAAATTACCATTTTTTCAGGCATGTGTGAAGATCGTCCTTTACTGTATCTGTAAAAAGATGTCAGATTGATGTCAGAACATCTTCTATGATGTTATTTACAAATAGTTCGAATTTTGTACATCACCACTGTTTAAATTTATTACAATTATTAATTATTACGTCTTTTACTGCTGTAAATGTCATGTAATAGTCAGAAGCATAAACATTTATCATTGACAATTATCACTAAAGACAAGCAATGATTTTCTTTTTCAATACATATAACCGTCACAGTGACAAAATTTACAGTAAAAGTGACAGTTATTGTTTGCTTAAGATATTTTACAAAAACTATTCTATGAATATACAATCTATGAAAATGTGACATTTAAAATGTAGAAGGGTCATTCCTACAGTTTATATTTGAAACACTGCATATTTTACAAGAAATGTTAATCAACTTTCATGCCACACAGTTCTCTTACGAGAGGTTCTCTCGTATTGTGTAAGTTTAGCTTACGCTACGGGTAAAGTTCATCTTTGCTCGAGATATTGAAGCCAAAATTATCCTTAATTTTGTATATATTGTCAACGCAGTGCAGCAGCTGCAGACCTAGAGCAGGCCATTCTCCCCCTAGCACATGCACAAGCATGGGAAGCCATTCCAGGGGTTTCAGAGTGGGTGCTAAGCACAATAAGACAGGGCTATGCACTACAGTTCGCTCGCGTTTTCACGCTCGGACCGAGTCGACAGTGGATGCGAAAGTAGCACATCTACTCCACGCAGAAATAGCCAAACTGCTGTGCAAGGGAGTTATAGAACCGGTGCCGCCTTCTCTGAGCGAGTCAGGCTTTTACAGCCGTTATTTTCTCGTAGCGAAGAAGGACGGAGGCCTGAGGCCTATATTAGATCTGAGATTTTTTAACAAAGCTCTCATGAGGGGACCGTTCAAAATGATTACAACCAGGCAGATTCTCGCGCAAATTCGCCCGAAGGACTGGTTTATATCTCTCAATCTGAAAGACGCGTATTTTCAGATACAGATTATACCCCGTCACAGGCCATTCTTGAGATTCGCCTTCGACGGCCAGGTAGGCCTATATCAGTACACCGTCCTCCCGTTCGGCCTGTCCCTGGCACCCCGTACATTTACGAAGTGCATGGACGTGGCGCTCGCCCCCCTCAGATGTCAGGGTGTGCGAATTCTGAACTACTTGGACGATTGGCTGATTCTAGCACAGTCAGAGATAGAGCTCGTATCTCACAGAACTATGCTACTCAGTCACTTGGAAAGATTGGGTCTCACGGTCAACTGGACCAAGAGCTCATTACGGCCCAGCCAGTCAATCTCCTTTTTAGGGATGGAACTGGCTATGAAGGATCAGCTGTCGACAGAGCGCCGTGTTCGACACCTAGCCGCAACTTTCCAGAAGGGCAGAACCGCCTCCCTGAAAAAAATTCAGAGGATGCTGGGCTGTATGGCCTCAGCTGCAGCAGTGCTTCAGCTGGGCTTACTGCGCATGTGCCCGCTACAACGCTGGTTGAACGCCCGCGTACCCCGTCAGGGGTGGACGCGCGGCTACAAGCGGATCAGGATATCTCAGAGCTGCATTTCAGCTCTGCAGCCCTGGTTAGCGGCCAATTGGTACCAGCAGGGGTGACAATGGCAGCGATTTCCCACCGGAAAATCATCTCGACAGACGCCTCCAACTCAGGTT